CAGCTGTTAAACTCGTCTTCATTGTGTGAAGCTCTGGAGTGATGACATCACTGTGACATCACTGTGACATCACTGTGACGTGTTTTTTCACGTGTTCAGCAGGAAATAGATTTTCTTTACCCACAGTTCAGAGCGTCATCCTGAGACAAACACGTGATGATCTGAGGGGTTCACCTGTGAGAGACGCAGGGACAGGAAACTAACCAGGTGACAGGTGTGAGGTTGGGAAGTGACCAGGAAGCAGGAACTGACAAAACAGGAAATGTTGGAAGTGACAAAATAAAACAGGAAATGGAAAGTGGTGCCGAACACTGACGGGATGTTCCAGCGAATCCAGACAACTGTCAATCATGAGTCATGGTCAGCTGTCAATCATGACGTCTCCGCCTGTTTTTATATCATCGATAACTGATTCAAACAAACTGATGAGAACGAGCTGAAACGACAGAAACATCTTTACAAACATTTATTTAACGTCTACTTTGATTTTTAGTTTGGTTCATGTCCCGTCTGCTAACATGGAGGAGGCCAGACTGACTCTGTTCATCGTTTATCGCTATTTTCTGTTTTGTTTCATTTCCCACAATCCTCTGCTCCTTCTCCGGGTTTCACAGCCAGAAAACTTTTCCAACAGTGACGATAAGAAACGAAAAACAAAGTTAAAACAAATACAGGTTGTCCTTTTGTCCTTGGATCACTCCAGTGTGTGTGTGTGTGTGTGTGTGTGTGTGTGTGTGTGTGGTTATGGGAACACACATCACAGCTGCCTCCCTCCCCCGACGACCGGCCGTCAAACAAAAAAAATCTTTTCAAACTCAACCTCAGGAACCAGCGGAGAGATGATTAAATTCTCCATGTGAGTTCAGAGCAATAAAAAATGAAATGAAAACACGGGAGGTGAAAACACAAAGGCCTCATTGTTGCCGGGCAGAGGAATGTCTGTGTGTGTGTCTGTGTGTGTGTCTGTGTGTGTGTGTGTGTGTGTCTGTGTGTGTCTGTGTGTGTGTGTGTCTGTGTGTGTGTCTGTGTGTGTGTGTGTCTGTGTGTGTGTGTCTGTGTGTGTGTCTGTGTGTGTGTGTGTGTGTGTGTGTCTGTGGGCACAGACAAAAGGTGGCCTATGACAAGGAGAGACGAGAGAGAGAGGATGAGGCACAGAGAGGGAGAGAGAGACCCACTCTCTCTCCCTCTCTGTGCCTCATGCTAACACTTTAGCATTCCACACTTTTACCAGAGGAAAGTTTCAGTTGAATAAAAACTTTCTTTATATGATCTCAGGTTTAAAGTTTATTAACGAGGACGTCGCTCCACGTTTTGTTTCCTGACTCGATGTAAAACTCGATGAGTCTGCTTCTGTGTTCCTGCTTTTAATTGGACGGTTTTCCTTCTTCCAGAGTTGGCGACAGAATCGTCGGCACAATGTGTGCGACTGCTTTCACACTTTTAATGAGACGAGCTGATCAACACGGTCAACAGGAAGAATCTTGTTACTTGTGTCTCAGAGACTTTAATAATTTAACGGGTTGAAGATGACGGACGTTCAATACAAGGAATAATAATTCATTTCTTAACCAGGTTTTTTGAGACGACGTCCCAGGGACAGACATGATGTTCTGATGTTCTGATGTACATGATGTTCTGATGTTCTGATGTACATGATGTACTGTCTGAGGATTTATAAGATCTGAATAAAGTTCAAATAAGTTAAACTAAACCAACAAACACATTAAATCCAAACAAAATTTAAATTCTGAAATATGACTCATATAAAGAAAAAAGAGTTTTCTATTATTATGAGACATGAAGTGTCACACACACACACACACACACACACACANAAAGAGTTTTCTATTATTATGAGACATGAAGTGTTTATCTCATGACACGGCACACACACACACACACACACACACACACACACACACACACACACACACACTGAGGAGAGAACGTAAAGAGCAGAAAATGAAGATAAATGTTGATGCAACACTGATCCAGTCATGTATGTATATAAACACACACACACACACACACACACTGAGAGCCTCATTTCCTGTCATCGCTCCTCACTTGACCTCTGACCTTTGTGAAGGTGTTGACAGATTTAAGACCCTGACTTCCTCCTCGTGTGTGTGATCTGCTCAGTAAAGTGTCTCAACAGTTCAAATATATTTAAAGAAACGTCACGACCCAGATTTCTGCTCCGTGAGACGTGCGTCACTGATCATCTGTGTAGATATAAGAGAGATATAAGTCAATAAGTTCATTTCACATAACATCTTTATCAGAAAACCTCTTTTGGACTAAACTTCGGTGCGTTGGTCTGAGGAACCTTTCTCACCTGATGTTCAGGTTCAGACTGGAGACCCTGAAGGTCTGAGACAAACAAGGTGTGAACGAGTCCTGACGTCTGAAGGTTAACGCTCAGTTCTGTCAACACATCGAAGGATCCTGAACATTTCCTCTTTGAAATCACGATCTCGCCTGAAGCTCTCGTCTCCGTGGTTTCAGTTTGACTCGGCTCCCGACAGATTGTGTTTCCTTCTTCATTAGAGCGGAGATGGAGGCAGATAGAGACCGAGATGTTGAAATGTTCCAGTCACCGATCGTCAGATTGAGACGCTTCATGGAGACACACACACACACACACACACACACACACACACACACAGCTTGGTACAACACGTCCTGGAAATTCCCACAAATGTTCCTGATGAGACACACAGTGTGTCATGTGTGGAGGTGTGTGTCTGTGTGCGTTCAAGTAATGATGGATTTCCATAAATTATTCGTGGTCAAACTGTAACGACTTCAATGATCCCTGACTTTTGTGTAGCGCCACCTGCAGGTGGATCACTGCATTATTTACAGTGACATATCTGAACACACGATCAAAGTCTGAGAGAATTTAAAATATTCATGTAAACCTTCATCTGTGTTTGTCTTCAGCTCCAGAGTCTGAACAAATAAATAACCTGTGTGTGTGTGTGTGTGTGTGTGTGTGTGTGTGTGTGTTGCACTCAGTGTTTTGGCATCTCTTGTTTTTCCCTGCAGCTCAGAGGTCGACAGGCAGCAGCTTGTCTGTTGGTTCAGTATGAATGTGTGTGTACACGTACACACAGACACACACACACAGACACACACACACACACGATGGGGAAACATAAAAATGAAGATCAGCTCTCACTCGTTTCTGATTTCTCCAGTTTCTTCTTTTATTTCTTGTCGTCTCTTCTCTGCATGAAGGAACCAGACGTGTCATCAGACCTGATGTCAGTGGAGTTTCAGTCCCGAAAGTACTTTTGTCTTTCAAACATATTTCTCGTGTTGACGTGTCGAACAGAAAGAGCTCGAGACTCAAACAAAGAACGGGACAAAGACGACCTTTTAAAATGTTAATGTGCATAAAAATAGCTTTATTTCCAATAAATCAGGACCTGCAGCAGAAGCCAATGATTCATTGGCTTCTTCTCTCCACTGGTGATTCACATGTGATGTTTGTGACATTAAGCAGCAGAACATTTTCTCTCCATGTTCACTGAGCAGACCTGAGGCCGATCACCTGCCGAGCCAGAAGAAATATAATCAGCGTTCAGGTCGGCCGACGCACAGGAAGGAAACACGTGATTAAATGTTTTTTTTGGAGCCAAAGACGAAACATCCAAACAATTAGCTAATTTATCGGCGTCCATTTTGGCTCCAAGTGATAATCAGCTCAGGTCTGCTCCTGACAACGTCGGCACAACATCCCCTGAACAACGACCACGTCAGCAATCCTTCTACAAACACACAAACAAACATAAATACAAAAGCAAAAACAAAAAAGTCTAAGAGATAATAGAAACTCTTACAAAATAAAAAGTTTCAAAACTATTTGCTTCTGAAAATCTCAAACTAGTGTATATAAAACTTTTAAAATCACATATACAACAGCTTAAAAAGGGGGAAACACCCCAACCTGAAAGAAGGCAATAAAATAATTTGACAGTTAAATTAATACAACAAAAAAAAAAATAAGAACGATCTACTGGAGAAAAATAAAATCCAAATAAAAACACTGGAGAACAATGAGAGGAGGTGAGTTAGTATTAGCATCGTAGTATCAAAACTCATTTACAGTAAAATCACAGGAACGTTACTGTCGGGGGAAAAACAAAAACAAAAGAACAATTTGGCATTTAAATATTTGGTAGATATTTCTTGTTGCCAGGATGTGGCTAAGTACCAAGTTAATCTTTCTCTTTTTTTCGTTTTATCTAACGACTATGTACAAATCCTTGGTAGACTGTGTGCCGGCTTCAGCTAAAGAAATGTGAGCGTCGAACCTGTTCGTGGCTTCAGCTTCTGCTCAAAGACCCCGAAATGAAAATAAAAATATCAAACGAACGACTAACCGTCGGTGTAGCTTATTGAGAAAGCATCAACGCCACGAGAGAACAAAAGTACCAAAAAACTACCGGTTTCTCCGAGTTACAGGATAAACGATCAATAACATTTAATGGATCCATGAAGAGAAGCTTGAGTGACCGCAGTGCTCAGACACGCAGAACGGCTAGCGTAGCTTAGCATAAAGAGCGGCAGCAGCTGGCTCTGTCCCTGACGCCTGCCTCCCAATATTCACGTTATTATGACAGTTCATTGTTTTACGCGTCACCGGGGAATTTACTACGTTTCATCACTTGACGTGAAAACAAACTGAATCCAGTTTGCAGGAGAATCTTATCATGAAATCAAAAAATCAAACATAACATCAGCTCCGTCACTGAAGGAAATAAAAGTCTCAGGATGAACTGAGCAGTGACTCGTGAAACCAGAGGTGTTCACGTGCACGTCTTCTGTCGTCTACCTCCGGGAACCGTGGGGGTTTGTGGGTAGTGACGGTTACATCATCTGAAATGAATCTTTTCGTACCTAGAGGCAGAATGAAGAAGCTCGTAGTTTCTCTCTCTGGACCGAACCAGGCCGCTGCTTTTCTTTTCACTCAATGCTAAGTCAAGCTATCGGACTTGTTAGCGACGTAACTGACGTTTGTTTCTTTCAGGTGAAACGTAACTGTGAGGAGAGAGAGAGAGAGAGAGAGAGAGAGCAGCTGCAGCCGACACGCTGACGGATCTTTGCTCCCGTAACACATGAGCAAGCTGTGTGTGTGTGTGTGTGTGTGTGCGTGTGTGTGTGTGTGTGTGTGTGAGAGGAATGTAGGCGTGTCCCGAGCTCGCCGGCTTGACTTCTCCATAATAACAGAAAACAAACCCCAGAGGCACAGCGGTGATTATTACAGAGGTGAAACCTTTTGAAGCACTGTTCACCGTGGCAGCAGAGGAGACACTGAGGGACCCGGGTCACGTAGTATTCAAACGTTCTTTTTCCAGATTAGCTGAGCTCTCTTATCTGGAGCTGCGTGCCAGACGACGGGACTTTCCCCTCGAGGACCAAACTGAAAGTCTCAAAGAAAAAGAAACCGTTCTAAGAATCTTGTTTTAATCAAATCTGCAGCTTCTGAAAGTTTACAGGACGTGAGCTTGGTTTGCTGACCTGTGATTGGCTCTAACGAACCTCAGGTCTGATGACAACATGAAACCACAGCTTCACAGCCACGTTACAGATTTGTGAGCTTTTTTTTTTTTTTTTTTAGATTAATGGGGAAAAAAAGTGAAATGTCTTAAATCTCTCTGCGTCACGTGGAGGTGGTTAAAAATAAAAAGCAGTTAAAAATCATTTGCTTCAGTCGAGTGAGAAGCTTCAGTCCATGAAACAGGTCGAGAGGAAGAGGAGGGGAAATAAATAACTGAATGGTACCAGAGATACAAAACATCATTGCACTGCGTTAGTGTTTCAACTGAAGGAGGAGAGAAGAAGAAAGACGAGCAAGAGCGGAACTTGTCAGAGTCCAGTTTTTTTTTTTCCTCTTGACACGGGGACAGATAAGAACGTGGGACCAATGACGACGTCGTACCGAGGCTGAAGTCGTCCTCTCCTCCTTTTTCTTGTTCGACCAAAAAAAAACTAAACGGCCTGAGGACAGCCTCTGATTGGTTGAGAGAGCACCAGTGAAATTAGTACACATCAGGTAGCAGGAGTCAGTGAGTCGGTTGTTGTCGGGGCGTCTCTCCAGGTTTGTGCAGTCAGAAGAGAAGCGAGGAGGAGGAGGAGGGATGATGAAGATGAGGCACTGTGAGGCCGGGAGCTGGCCCTGATTAGATATTTACAGGTTTCAGGGAGTGAGGTGTGTGTTTGTGTGTGAGGGGCGGGGCTGTGGGGTCTATGCGTAGATCTCTGTGGTGGGGGCCTTCTTGTAGATGGGCTTCTTCCCCAGCTCGTAGCTGCCCTCGTCCTTCTTCTTCATGCGGTAGATGAGGAGGAGGATGAGGAGCACGGCGAACATCAGGCCGACGGCGCAGCCTGCGATCACAGCTGGAGGAGACAAGACGACCGGTCAGAGAAACATGAACATCAGAGAAACATGAACATCAGAGAAACATGAACATCAGAGAAACATGATCAGAGAAACACTCCCCCAGCGCCTGAATCTCTAATAACTTCCAGGTATCGACTGAAGTTGAGCAACGATCTGACACCAGAGCATTTGAAACTGTAATATAAGTATTTAATAAATATTTGAGCTGCTGTTTGTCACTGACTCTCTCTGGAAGTGATGATTTCTATCATCTGACTTAGTCACTGAGATTTTAATGAACAATATCTCTTGCGGCCGCTCCCCGTCAGACAGGAACGTTTACCAGAGAACAAGCTGTGTGTTTTAAATATGGCATCGTACTGACCTGCGAGGACCTCGGTCTTGTTAAAGATGCTGTCATCACTGGCGTGGGCCATGAGGACGTTGGACGGGTAGTCCTCGCTCGTCTCGGCGTCCATCCTCACCAGTGGGATTTCGTTGCTGTTCTGGACGATGTCCACCTCGTTGACGGTTGGTCGAACCGGAGGCTCCACATCTGGGATCTTGTTGTCGTTGGCGTCCGGCTGAAGATGGAGGAAAGGAAGTCAGGAGGTCAATCATTCGTGTGATCGGACGCCAAGTTCCAGGAGGCGTGCACCAACATCGCCACATCAAGTCAAAGAGAGTCTTCTTCTACACGTTTGGTCAAAATAAAAGTTAAAATCTAGAAACGTCTCTCACCTTCACTGACGGCTCGGACTCTGGCTCAGGTGACACAGTTGTTGCTGTGGAAAGAAACAGATTCTTCATTTAATCCAAATTGTTTTAACTCAGCTTTTTTTAATCTTCGCACGATTCAAGAGGCGATTTCAAAAGTAAAGATGAGAAGAGACCGACCTCCGTCTCCTGACCCAGATGACTCGACGTACTCGTCCTCATAGTTGTCGGTGTAGTAGTCGTTGTCATCTTCGTCATCTTCGTCGTCTTCGTCGTCCGTGAAGCCGAAGTCGGAGCCGTTCTGGGCGTCTCCCGATGACTCCAGGCCGTCGCTGTGTGTCGACATGGCGACGGTCTGTGTGGTCTTCATGGGCATCCACGTCTCCGTCTCCCTAACCTGCTGGGACAACAGAGCCGGGGTCAGAGGATGATGTCCTTCCTAACGATCAGTCCTCACTCTTGATTATTAACACATCGGTGTTAGAACATCACTTTTAATAATGAAACAGCTGCTGAAATAACTTCTGATAACGAGGATAAATACTGACACAGGAGGAAGGTGATGAAATTACGATCCAATGAATTCCCCGATATATTGATAATCTTCTGATCTTTTATTATTTTTAAAGCAAAACCTTTGTGTTTTAAAGTGTCGCTCAGACGTCACTTTGTTCTTAAAGGATGAACGTTACTCAACCAGCTGATTTTACATTAGAGAAAGAAAAGGTGATTTAATCAACCTCCTTTAATCACATCACTGCTCTTCAGGCAGTGACCATTTGCTCAGTAAGCAGCGTAAATGGGATTAAAACACAGACACGCCCTCCACCGGCCTAATTATCATTACAACACATTAATCAGCGTTAAGCTCAAACCAAACAGCTGCAGAGGTGAAACAAGGCGAGGAGAACAGGCGGAAAAAGTTTTAAATGAATTAATTAGTCAATTAACAGAACATTTATCTGAAGTCAATAGGTTGATTTAAAAAGGCAAATCCATTGTTATTTTCTGAATTATATAGATAGAAATTAAACCCAAATGATGTGTATTTAAATCTTATCAATACAAAACATGTTTCGTTCATGTTTTGCTGATTCTGGAAACATGTGAGTGGTCATTTTAATTTAACAGAGTTTTTAGTGGACTAACTTGTTAATCAACTGAATTAAACAAATAAAACAACAGTTAACCCGAAATACTGGACTGATAAAAATCTTATGATTGAACAAACTCATCTTCAAGGCTGATGATTAATGGATCAAATACAGGTCTTTGTTCCACATGTGGAAAAAGAAAACTATACTTGATACGAGTCGTGAGAAGAAAAGAAGAAGCTTTTCTTTTTTCCCTCTTCAACGAAACCTTTCATTTACTGAGAAGAAAAGACGACCACAAATCACACAGGGAACATGTCAGAGCGTCCCACAGCTTCCTCATTGACTCCCCGTCACACACACACACACACACACACAC